AACCCCGTAGGGGGCTGTGCAGAGAATACAGGTCGACATCAAGCCTTCAGAATTCACAGGTACCATTCGACAAGAATGCTGTAGCTGGACTTGAAACAAGCCGACGTGGGAAAGTACGGAAGCCGAGAAAACAAATGTGTCGGCCAAGCCGTAGCAAGGACGTCCCAGCACGACTGCGGACAGCGTTATCCTGGCTGTGCAAAGTGGACGTCCCTCGGAGACAAAAGGCAGACTTTTGGTATTCCGCAGTAACCATGCCTGCGTTCAAATTTTGGCCGTCAAGGGAAAAGGGACGTAGCTTGAGGGTTTCAACTGAACAGGTAGCAAGCTAGAAGGTTACTCGTGCTTCAGTTTAGCTCATCTTGCGCCAGAAAGTGCACAAGGGGACGAAATAGAAAGTGTCGGGCCAGTTGTACTGTAGGGGCATGTTTGTTTGTTTGTTTGTTTATTGGAACTTTTGACAATACAGGATTGTCATGGTGCTGAGGCAAAAGGTGACAGTAAGTCACCTGACCAGGCCCCTAGCACCAGACTACACTTGCAGCAGATGCAGCAGATGCAGCAGGCAGACTAGTGGTAGAGTGCTATAGTTAACCATAAACAAAAACAAAAAATACACAGTAACTAGATCACTACACTACATACGCTCTTGCAATGAAAAATAAATAATTCGCAACATGCAACAAAAATATATGAACTACATTACTACAATTACATCTGTACACATAATTTAGAAGACCACAGTATTATGCGGAAAGTAAAAAATATGTTTTTGATTTTTTTCTGAAAGTCAAGAGGTTTGAATTATGATCGATTATATCGATCAAGCCAGGGTGGAGGTTGAGAAGATTGGGAATCTGCCAAGATAGTAATTGCGTACCGTAATTTGTTCTGGTTCTGATTTTTATAAAGTTTGTATTTCTAAAATTGTAGTGTGTATCAGTATTCGTATATGTAGAAAGGAATAATTCACGGTCAGTTTTAACTTGGGAGAATATAACCTCAGACAATCGTTGATTATACAGTGCCTCAATATTCAGGATACGATGTTTCTCAAAGTATTGGAATGTATGATCGCGGCTTGATAGGTTTTCAATAAATCGTATACTTTTTTTCTGCATTAAGTACAAACTAGTCATATTACATTTAGATGTAACCCCCCAGACAAGTAAACAATAGTGCAGTCGAGAATGAACAGTAGTGAAATAGAGCTGACGTTTTAGCCACATTGGTAATAAGGCACGAAATCTATTCAGCATGCCAATAGACTGTGCGATGTCACGCTTCACAAAATTCACATGACATGTCCAGCGAAGGTTTTCATGAAAATGTATGCCTAAGAATTTGTATTCGGTAACCCTTTCTAGTGACCGTGACTGGAATACTATTTCGGTAGTAAGGTTAACTGGTCTGTTAATTGAGGAAAAAACAATATATTTTGTTTTGTTAACATTTAGAAGCAGCTGATTCGCATCAAGCCACTTCGATAAGTTTTTGAGCCATGCGTTTGTGACAGGAATAAGAGATGATAGGTCCCTGGATGAAAAAAAAACACTCGTGTCATCGGCGTAAAGTACTATGTCTGGCGTATGGGGGATAGCAACAATGTCATTGATATAAAGAAGGAATAGCATAGGTCCTAATATTGATCCTTGCGGAACACCAAATTTTATATGTTCAGTGTCCGATTCTATACTATTAGCTACCACAAACTGGCTACGATTTGCCAGATAACTGCGCAATAGTTTAAGTGAAATGCCTCTAATTCCGTAGTGTGGCAGTTTATCAAAGAGAATATTATGCTTGATAGAGTCAAAAGCTTTATTGAAATCTACGAAGATGCCTATAGTGTAGGATTGATTTTCTATATTGCTGATAAGTTTTCCTCGAATGTTAAGTAAAGCTTACTCAGTGGATTTACCTCTCTGAAATCCATATTGGTTTGCAGAAATTAGTCGGTATTTATGAAGATGATTAATTATTCTAGATGTCTACAAAAAGCTCTGTAGGGTTGTGTGGAGGCCCTCTTGCAGCACAGATGTGTATTTGTCCTCACCGTCTCTGGAAAAGACGACCATAACACAGAATGAACGTCCCTCGGAGACAAAAGGCAGACTTTTTGTATTCCGCAGTAACCATGCCTGCGTTCAAATCTTGGCCGTCAAGGGAAAAGGGACGTAGCTTGAGGGTTCAAACTGAACAGATAGCAACCTAGAAGGTTACTCGTGCTTCACTTTAGCTCATCTTGCGCCAGAAAGTGCAGAAGGGGACAAAATAGAAAGTGTCGGGCCAGTTGTACTGTAGGGGCATGTCTACAAAAAGCTCTGTAGGGTTGTGTGGAGGCCCTCTTGCAGCACATATGTGTATTTGTCCTCACCGTCTCTGGAAAAGACGACCATAACACAGAATGAACGTCCCTCGGAGACAAAAGGCAGACTTTTGGTATCCCGCAGTAACCATGCCTGCGTTCAAATTTTGGCCGTCAAGGGAAAAGGGACGTAGCTTGAGGGTTCAAACTGCTCAGATAGCAACCTAGAAGGTTACGCATGCTTCAGTCGAGCTCATCCTGCACCAGAAAAAGCACAAGGGGGGAATATAGGAGTGTGGGAGCGGTTGTACTGTGGCGGCATGTCTAGAAAAAGCTCAAAAGTGATTTGTGGAGTCCCTCTTGCGGCGCAGACCTGTATTTGTCCTCACCGTCTCTGGGAAAGACCACCCTAACAAAAGAATGGACGTGAAACTGAGGCAAAGGGCGTAGTTTTGCTTCGAGGTAGAAACAGCGCCTGCGTTCAGATGTTGGCCGTCAAGTGAAAACGGACTTAGCTTGAGGGTTCAAACTGAACAGGTAGCAAGCTAGAAGGTTACTCATGCTTCAGTCGAGCTCATCTTGCACCAGAAAAAGCACAAGGGGGGAAAATAAAGAGTGTGGGGCCAGTTGTACTCTAGGGGCATGTATACAAAAAGCTCTGCAGGAACAAACCTTTTCCCGAGGTGGACAGCAGGGGCCTGAAGACATAAATAAAAAAGAAGTGACACATTTAACGAGTCTTCACTGCGCCAGAAAAACAAGAATCAGCTCATTTCTTTTTGAGACCTCAGTCTTTATTAGGCCAAGAATACAATTTTTCAGACGAGCTGTCTCAATGTAAAAACACACTTCCTTATTAGTACCCTTTTGACACACAAACAGTCCTACCTGGTGCGAGACCCTTCCCCAACAATTTGATAGTTGTACGTACCTATAATGGTTTTCTAATTACGAGCGAGCGGCAGCTCTTTGAAGTCTTGCTCGCGCTCTGGTGAGCCTTCAAACGACCAGCCGCTCCGCCGAGCGCGCGCCGCACGAGATGAATGAATTAAAATAATCTCGCGCGCATAGCGAACGTTCCTTTTACCCGAGGGAGCGCTTCAGAAGAAAAAAGCAAATTGTGGTAGCAAATGATGAAGCGGTGAGCAATATCGAACCTGAAAATGACTGCTTTCGTGCGGGAAGTCGCATCAGTGCTCGTACAGTAACCTATCGACTCGATCAGAGGCAAACTACAGTCGTCGGGTCTTCTACGAAACGCCTGCTCACGTTTGACACCAACATCGCGTCTCGGAAACGAAAATTCAGCCTCGGAGGTCCGAACACAGGTTCGGAAATTAGAATTGGCCGCCATGACCATGCCCACGGTAAAAGCGTCGTAGCTTCGCGAAAGCTTTTATTTCACACGTTCAAAGTGGTGTCCATAGAGTCTAGAAAGAACAAGGAACACATCGGTGCTAGCGGCGATGAGATACGACCAGTATTAATGAAGGAAGTGTCTATTCTGCCGGCAGCCGGCAGAATAACCGGAGGGGGAAAAAGTGCCGGCAGTAGTCGCCTATTGGGTCTCGTATAAAACGGATTGTAAACACGCCTATTCCGAGCTGTGGATTAGCTCAGTGGGTAAGATGTGCGCTTCGTACACAGCAGGATCTTAGTTCAATCCCCCGAGAAAATTTGTTTTTTTTTTTTCTTCGGACTTTTGTTTTTTGTTGAGGTATTAGGCGATACTTACGGCATCCCTCTTTTAGAATTAACACTACAAAAAGAACGCGCAAAAAAAAAAAAAACAGAAAAAACACCAGAAATCAGCCGAGTTCTCCGAGCGGTTTTACGATAAAACAACTTTTGCGTTTGCTATCTCGAAGAAATTTGACACACAAACAGTCCTACCTGGTGCGAGACCCTTCCCCAACAATTTGATAGTTGTACGTACCTATAATGGTTTTCTAATTACGAGCGAGCGGCAGCTCTTTGAAGTCTTGCTCGCGCTCTGGTGAGCCTTCAAAGGACCAGCCGCTCCGGCGAAGGCGCGCGCCGCACGAGATGAATGAATTAAAATAATCGCGCGCGCATAGCGAACGTTCCTTTTACCCGAGGGAGCGCTTCAGAACAAAAAAGCAAATTGTGGTAGCAAATGATGAAGCCTTGAGCAATATCGAACACGAAAATGACTGCTTTCGTGCGGGAAGTCGCATCAGTGCTCCTACAGTAAACTATCGACTCGATCCGAGGCAAACTACAGTCGTCGGGTCTTCTACGGAACGCGTGCTCACGTTTGACACCAACATCGCGGCTCGGAAACGAAAATTCAGCCTCGGAGTGTATCGTTCTATTACGAGCGCCTACGGATGATGGACCGCACGCCAGGATGAGATAGGAACGACTGCCTCGTCGTCGTCTTTTATTCCCGCGCCGCGAGGCTATGCTCGTGGTACATCCTCTTTTCTCTGCATTTAAAAAAAAAAAGTGCAAAATTAAGATGACACAAAGACGCTAGTCAAAAATAAAAAAAAAACAGGGACAAGAGAGAGAAAAAAAGAGAAGAAAGAAAAAAAAAAAAAACTACGGCATTTGCTGGAACGACTCATCATAACTTAGTCTCCGTGGAGGCTGTCTGCTTCTGCCCGCTCGGCGTGATGAGGGCCCCTGCTGCGTCTGAGGTTGCGGTGCTTCCTGGTCCTCTGTCTCTTCATCTGTACCGTCTGGTCCAGGCGACTGCGGTCCCCCATCGTCTTCCGATTCCGAGTCGTCGTTTTCTTCTGTTGTCCTTGAATCATAATCTTCGTCAACTTTCAGGAGATGTTGCCTGTTGCGACGGAACGTCCTGCCATCTTCCGTGACGACGCTGTACGACCTAGGAGCGACGTAGGACTCGACAGTTGCTTTCGTAGCCCATTTTCCATCGTTTAGGATACGGACGGTGTCTCCTGGCTGCAGCGGCTCTAGATGTCGTCCTTTTTTGAGGTTCTGGGTGTGCTTTTGAACAGGCGGTGCTGGATCCGAAGAGAAGTCTGGAAGCAGGCTTCGAATACCACGACCCATCAAAAGCTCCGATGGAGAGCGACCGCCTTCCAGCGGAGCCGTACGGTAGCTAAGCAAGCCGAGCCAGAAGTCCTCTTTTGTTGATTGTGCTTTTCGGAGTAGCCGCTTCACCACCTGGACGCCTTTCTCCGCGAGGCCATTGGAGCGGGGATACCCAGGGCTTGACACTGTATGAATAAAATCATACCGCGTTGAGAAGTCTTTGAATTCTTTTGCAGAAAACTGTGGCCCTCCGTCTGTGCAAACTTCTAATGGTATTCCATGACGTGCAAATATTTCTGACAGTTTGGAGATCACACCATTAGCAGTTGTGTCACGAAGCTCCTCCACTTCGGGATAATTTGAGTACGCGTCATACACCACTAGGTAATGTTTACGACCAAGTTCGAACAAGTCAGCCCCAACCCGACCCCAAGGATGACCAGGCACCTCACGTGTATGCAGAGGCTCATCCTGGTGTCTGTAGGTGAAAATTTGGCATGTCTCGCATTTTCTGACTAATGCAGTAATATCCGCATTCATACCTGGCCAGTAGACTAAGTTCCTTGCTCTTGATTTACATTTGTTGAGGCCTAGGTGACCCTGGTGTATTCTTGTAAGTATTTCTTTGCGCATTGCTGCTGGTATTACAACTTTGTTTCCTTTCAACAAGACTCCATTGATGACCGAAAGCTCTGTCATAACGGACTTCAGCTCACCCCGAACTGGAGTTCCAGCTTCTAAACTGGCAATTGCCTCCTGCAGGACGGGATCGCCTGCTGTGGCTGCCTGCAGGCTGCCCAGGGTCCGGCTGCCTACCAGTGTTGAAAACACTGCATTTGCATGTATTTCGACGTCGGTCGTGTCGTCTTCTGCTTGGGAACCACCGGAGATTCGGGAGAGTGTGTCCGCGATCACCAGCTTCTTTCCAGGGACAAACTGTAAATCAAATTCGAACTTAAGCAAACGAAGAAATAGTCGTTGCAACCTTGGTGGCAGGTCGCCTAAGTTTTTCTTTTTAAGAGCGATCAAGGGTTGATGGTCAGATTCAACGAATATTTTTCTTCCGAGTATGAATTCGGTAAATCTTTCGCACCCAAATACAATTCCCAGAGCCTCCTTTTCGATCTGAGCATATCTACGCTCTGTGTCTGTGAGTACTCGTGATGAGTACGCCACCACTTTCCAATCTTTTCCATCATGCTGGAACAAGGCAGCACCGAGAGCAAATGCAGAGGCATCTGTTGAGACTTTGGTGGGTCGAGAGGGATCAAAAATTGCCAGGACCGGTGCCTCAGTGAGCAATTTTCGCAGTTGTTGCCACTCAGTTTCATGAACCTTCTGCCATTCAAAAATAGTGTCTTGTCGAATAAGTTGACGCAACGACTCTGTCTGCGTTGACAGGTTTGGCAAGTACTTTCCAAAGTAGTTAACAGCTCCTAGCAACTGCTGAACCTCTTTCTTACTCGTTGGAGTTGGTAGGGCTGCAACACATTTCACAAGTTCTGGATTTGGCTCAATGCCAGCTGCGCTTATTTTATCTCCTAAGTAGGTGATTTCTGTGACCCCGAAGATGCACTTCTCCAAGTTAAGAGTTAACCCTTCTGTTTGTAGAGCATGAAGCACAGCACGCAATCGTTGGTCATGTTCTTCCCGTGTTTCGCCCCAAATCAGGACATCATCAATATACACCCGCACACCTGGAAGTCCATCCAAAAGGTAACTCATAGTGCGCTGAAACACCTCGGGGGCTGAAGCGATTCCAAAGGGTAGTCTGAGAAACCTGTAGCGACCAAAAGGAGTGCTGAAGGTGCATATTCGAGATGTACTGTCATCCAACGGTATTTGATGGAAACCGCTGTTGGCGTCGAGCCGGCTAAAGTATGCGGCATGTGCCAAGTCTGCTTCAATTTCCTCTCTCCGAGGCAGCTGAAAATGCTCTCGCTTGAGTGCTTTGTTTACGTGACGGGGATCCATGCATAATCTTAAGTTGTTGTTTTTCTTTCGTACTATAACCAAGGGGCTCACCCAGTCGGACGGTTCTGGTGCCTTCGCGATGACACCTGCTGTCTCCATTCGGTCGAGCTCTGCCTTCAGAGGCGCACGTAGCGCGTGCGCCACCCGGCGTGCTGGCTGGATCACCGGTGTGGAGTTGTCGCGAAGAACCATCTTGTAGGCTCTCTTTGTGCAACCGAGACCACGAAAGAGACCGGGGAACTCGCGCTCTACTTGTTGGCGCTGCTGGTTCTCGTGCTCCACAGTGTTGACCCGGTTGACGAGGCCAAAGTGCTCGCATGCTTTCAGGCCCATGATGGCTTGCCTGCCCTTCTTTACTATAAAGAAATCGATGAAACCTTGTTTTCTGCCGACAGATACCGACAGGCGGACTTTTCCCAGATGTTGTATGATGCCACCTCCGTAGCTATGCAGAGTTGCAGTCGTGTGTTGAGGCCGCTGCTTTTGTTTGATCTTCATAAACAATGTTCGAGGGAGCAGATTGGCCTGTGCACCGGTGTCCACTTTAAGCTCTACCTGCTTCCCTTCTATCGTAGTATTCACGGTCCAGTCACGGTTGCCGACCGAATGCACGCTGCTGGTTGACAAAATCTCAAGCACATCAAAATCGCTGCTTGCCTCACTGGTTTCTTCAACGTCATGTACGCCAGACTGCTTAGTCTTGCAACATACTGCAAAATGATTTTTCTTCCTGCATTTTGAGCATGTCTTTCTGTAGGCTGGACATTGCCTTGGCGCGTGAGCTTGGTTGCAGAAGCGACATCTCGACTTGTCTTTCTGCTGCTGCTTGACTGTCTTAACGATTTCCACCTTGGCCGCTGCTTCACTTGACCCTTTAACTGCCGCGTCATTCCATGTTTTGTTGTGGACATTGGCTGTTTCTTCGGCCTTGCAGCATTCAACTGCTATTTCTAAAGTCAAATCCTTTTTCCGCAGGAGTTTCTCTCGAATCTTCTTGCTTGACGTTCCATACACGATCTGGTCTCGTAGCATGGAGTCCTTTAGGTCGCCAAATCCACAGGTCGCTGCTTTCAGCTGAATATCGCGGTAGAAATGTTCGAAAGCTTCTCCTTCCTCTTGTCTCCTCGTTCGGAACACATAGCGTTCGAACGTCTCATTGCATCTCGGAAGGCAGTAGGCTTCGAACCTCCGTACCAGGACATCGTAATCTTGGGCTTCTTCAGCTGACAAACCAAACGTGTTAAATACCTCAATGGCTTCTTGCCCAGCGACGTGCAGAAAGATAGCGGCTTTTTGTTGCTGGTTGCGACCTTCCTTGGGCTCTGTAGCCAGAAGGAAGAGTTCCATCCGCTGCTTGAATTTTTTCCAATTCTCTGCAGCGTGCTCTCCCAGCCGCAGCGGTTCTGGTGGCGGAAGATCAGTCATGGTGCGTGGAGACTGAAGATCACTTCTGACACCATGTATCGTTCTATTACGAGCGCCTACGGATGATGGACCGCACGCCAGGATGAGATAGGAACGACTGCCTCGTCGTCGTCTTTTATTCCCGCACCGCGAGGCTATGCTCGTGGTACAGGAGGTCCGAACACAGGCTCGGAAAGTACAATTGGCCGCCATGACCATGCCCACGGTAAAAGCGTCGTAGCATCGCGAAACCTTTTATTACACACGTTCAAAGTGGTGTCCGTAGAGTCTAGAAAGACCAAGGAACACATCGGTGCTAGCGGTGACGAGATACGACCAGTATTAATGAAGCGAGATCGAAGAAAGGATCGGTGCCTAAAGTGAGGAAAGCGAATGGCTGGCTTCGATGTGAAAACTTTCAAACGCCGTTTATTTCGCGAAACTCGCATCACACAAGAAAAGAAATCGGTCTCTGTCCAGTCCAGGGGCGGCTGGGAACAAGTGTCCCCCATTTGATATCGTAAATTCAAGGTCGTAATATAGATTTCAGAAATTCAATATTTTCAATGGTAAAACAAAAGGCACCAGGTGGCGGGATTTACCGACCGGTCGGAATTGCTCAGCCGCACTCATGGATCCATTCATTCGAAACGGGTCATCTATCTATTCATTCATAAAAAATGTAATTCCTGGCCGTGTTTTAAAATTAACGAAATCATACTGCGAGGTAAAGCTTCTGTACACCTGGCGTTTTGAAACCTGCCTGCGTCCAGCGTTCTTTCATTTCTGCTGTCACGTGACACGATCCGCCCGAGTAACTCGGGTTTATTAGGGTGAGATTTGAAACACAGCCCTGGTTTAATAAAACCAAACTTAGAATTACGGGAATCGTCTTATTTTTGAAAACGATGTCGTCGAGACCCGTGTTCCACAACAAGTTTAAATTATTTAGGTCAAGTATTTAGAAATTTACCGCCCATTCGTGGTTCTGGTTTGGTTTTTGCAAAAAAAGCAAATGGCTGCCGCGTGTTTTGCTCGCAACCGGAGGTGATTCAATCGCACGAAGCTCGGAAAGTAGGCTAGCTAGGACATTTATTTTAACCAGGGAGTAAGATTATGTTCCGAGGAACATTCGAGGCGCGTCTCATTGATGTAGGTATTCTAAAAAGAAAGTTATCAACAGAAGTTTACGTGTAAGTAAGGCTTCACTGTACGATGTTTTGACTTCACATATGCTCGTATAAAGAAAACTACGATAGCTAGAGGGTTCTAATTCGCAGCGAATGATCGCGCTCTGAATTTAGACGCACTGTTAAAATTTCATCGCTCCAGCTAGTTTAGAACTCGTTATATTCGCGAAAACAGGTTTTGGGACTCTGCTCGGAAATTAACAAGCCCGACCAAGTTCAATCGTTCGCCTGTGGATATTCAAGACCGCTGGAGTGCATTCATCGATTGTGGTCGTGAAAACAACATCATAGGAACATGTGTGTGCAGTGAAACCGTGTCAGCTCATCTCAATCGAGACTCATCGATCAACGGGGAGGGTGTCCCGAGCACAAGTGGATGGATATACTTCAAAGAGCTGCCGCTCGCTCGGAATTAGAAAACCATTAAGCTATCCAATTGTCGGGAAAGGGTGTCGCACCAGGTAGGAGTGTTTGTGTGTCAAATTTCTTCGAGATAGCAAACGCAAAAGTTGTTTTATCGACCTAATAAAACCGCTCGGAGAACTCGGCTCATTTCTGGTGTTTTTTCTGTTTTTTTTTGTTGTTTTTTTTTTAGTGAAAAAAGATGACTCTTCAGATTACCATTTCTTTTAGGTAATTGAGAAGTTGCATTAAAGAAACGGCCTGCACAGTAAATACAAATGGTTCTATTGCGATTATTTCATAATTGAACCAGAAAAGCACATTAATGTTGGCCTAATAAGAGAGTCGGCTGTTTTTTATGTACTGCTCATGTCTAGGAAACGAAGAGTGCTAGAGCGACGATTCATTTTTGATACGAGTGCTTGCTTTCCTCCTGTAATGAACGAGCCCAGGTTGGTTAACACAGCTGGTGTCAAAGTTTATGTACGAACGCAAAAGCTGAAGGTAGTCCTGATTTTTCGAGCCTTTGAACAGTGGCGTGGGGTTTTGTAGTGTCTGAGAATAAAGAGGCACTGCAGACAAGAAGACTGTGTCCTCGGTGTTGCTTGCCCACCCCCGTAAGATGTGGAGACACACTTCATTGAAAACCTACGTGATTTACTAAGACGGGGGTTTCTGCAGAACCCCGTAGGGGGCTGTGCAGAGAATACAGGTCGACATCAAGCCTTCAGAATTCACAGGTACCATTCGACAAGAATGCTGTAGCTGGACTTGAAACAAGCCGACGTGGGGAAAGTACGGAAGCCGAGAAAACAAATGTGTCGGCCAAGCCGTAGCAAGGACGTCCCAGCACGACTGCGGACAGCGTTATCCTGGCTGTGCAAAGTGGACGTCCCTCGGAGACAAAAGGCAGACTTTTGGTATTCCGCAGTAACCATGCCTGCGTTCAAATTTTGGCCGTCAAGGGAAAAGGGACGTAGCTTGAGGGTTCCAACTGAACAGGTAGCAAGCTTGAAGGTTACTCGTGCTTCAGTTTAGCTCATCTTGCGCCAGAAAGTGCACAAGGGGACGAAATAGAAAGTGTCGGGCCAGTTGTACTGTAGGGGCATGTTTGTTTGTTTGTTTGTTTATTGGAACTTTTGACAATACAGGATTGTCATGGTGCTGAGGCAAAAGGTGACAGTAAGTCACCTGACCAGGCCCCTAGCACCAGACTACACTTGCAGCAGATGCAGCAGATGCAGCAGGCAGACTAGTGGTAGAGTGCTATAGTTAACCATAAACAAAAACAAAAAATACGCAGTAACTAGATCACTACACTACATACGCTCTTGCAATGAAAAATAAATAATTCGCAACATGCAACAAAAATATATGAACTACATTACTACAATTACATCTGTACACATAATTTAGAAGACCACAGTATTATGCGGAAAGTAAAAAATATTGTTTTTGATTTTTTTCTGAAAGTCAAGAGGTTTGAATTATGATTGATTATATCGATCAAGCCAGGGTGGAGGTTGAGAAGATTGGGAATCTGCCAAGATAGTAATTGCGTACCGTAATTTGTTCTGGTTCTGATTTTTATAAAGTTTGTATTTCTAAAATTGTAGTGTGTATCAGTATTCGTATATGTAGAAAGGAATAATTCACGGTCAGTTTTAACTTGGGAGAATATAACCTCAGACAATCGTTGATTATACAGTGCCTCAATATTCAGGATACGATGTTTCTCAAAGTATTGGAATGTATGATCGCGGCTTGATAGGTTTTCAATAAATCGTATACTTTTTTCTGCATTAAGTACAAACTAGTCATATTACATTTAGATGTAACCCCCCAGACAAGTAAACAATAGTGCAGTCGAGAATGAACAGTAGTGAAATAGAGCTGACGTTTTAGCCACATTGGTAATAAGGCACGAAATCTATTCAGCATGCCAATAGACTGTGCGATGTCACGCTTCACAAAATTCACATGACATGTCCAGCGAAGGTTTTCATGAAAATGTATGCCTAAGAATTTGTATTCGGTAACCCTTTCTAGTGACCGTGACTGGAATACTATTTCGGTAGTAAGGTTAACTGGTCTGTTAATTGAGGAAAAAACAATATATTTTGTTTTGTTAACATTTAGAAGCAGCTGATTCGCATCAAGCCACTTCGATAAGTTTTTGAGCCATGCGTTTGTGACAGGAATAAGAGATGATAGGTCCCTGGATGAAAAAAAAACACTCGTGTCATCGGCGTAAAGTACTATGTCTGGCGTATGGGGGATAGCAACAATGTCATTGATATAAAGAAGGAATAGTATAGGTCCTAATATTGATCCTTGCGGAACACCAAATTTTATATGTTCAGTGTCCGATTCTATACTATTAGCTACCACAAACTGGCTACGATTTGTCAGATAACTGCGCAATAGTTTAAGTGAAATGCCTCTAATTCCGTAGTGTGGCAGTTTATCAAAGAGAATATTATGCTTGATAGAGTCAAAAGCTTTATTGAAATCTACGAAGATGCCTATAGTGTAGGATTGATTTTCTATATTGCTGATAAGTTTTCCTCGAATGTTAAGTAAAGCTGACTCAGTGGATTTACCTCTCTGAAATCCATATTGGTTTGCAGAAATTAGTCGGTATTTATGAAGATGATTAATTATTCTAGATGTCTACAAAAAGCTCTGTAGGGTTGTGTGGAGGCCCTCTTGCAGCACAGATGTGTATTTGTCCTCACCGTCTCTGGAAAAGACGACCATAACACAGAATGAACGTCCCTCGGAGACAAAAGGCAGACTTTTGGTATCCCGCAGTAACCATGCCTGCGTTCAAATTTTGGCCGTCAAGGGAAAAGGGACGTAGCTTGAGGGTTCAAACTGCTCAGATAGCAACCTAGAAGGTTACGCATGCTTCAGTCGAGCTCATCCTGCACCAGAAAAAGCACAAGGGGGGAATATAGGAGTGTGGGAGCGGTTGTACTGTGGCGGCATGTCTAGAAAAAGCTCAAAAGTGATTTGTGGAGTCCCTCTTGCGGCGCAGACCTGTATTTGTCCTCACCGTCTCTGGGAAAGACCACCCTAACAA